ACTTGCTCGTACAGTGCGGAATAGTGTTACTTGTCGGGACACCGCGGTCTTAAGGAGTTAAGGAGAGTTGCTCAAAGGTCCGAAGGACTCAGATTGTCACAGAGTCAGGAATAACAACTGTGCAATAGGTAGTCTGTGCTCGATTACAATTATTGGTGAAAAGTAGTCTGTCAGTCTGATGACACTGCGATATAAAATCATATTGTGTAGTGGTTTTAGACCTGGATTTGGACCCCTTGTGAATATGCGATAAAATTAAAATATTATATAGAAAGTTTTAGAAGATTTTTCGAAATTGTTGCTTTACATCTGTTAATTTAATAAATTTTTGGACATAAATTTTAGGATCATATTTTGGTAAATAATTTATAGTGTTTCATTGTCTTTATAACTATAAAGCTATAAGTCCTTTAATTCACATTACAACCCTAGATACAATTACATAGATATGAGATCTACTAGGAAGAATGGTAAGAGAGTCAGTATGTGGGACTTGGTCTTAAGTGGGAATATCACTATCAAGAGGCTCATAACATAAGGGTCTGCCCACACTACGCCATGTGGCGACGGGCCACATGGCGTGGGTCAAAAGGCACAGTGTGTTTAGAGCTCCTGCCATGTGGCCCGTCTATATAAACACACTGTGCCCACAAACCAATTAGTCAGTTAATTGATGATGGTATGAAACCAAATTGGGGTACTGGAAGTCAAAATCTCGAAAAAAATTGGAAAATCATACTGTCCCATACTTTGTCCCATTTTCAGTTTTTGAAGCTGAAACTTCCAGGGCTGAAATTTTACAGTTTTGGCCGAATTTCTGACCTGCAACCAATTAATCAGTCAACTATAGATGCCAAATGACATGATTGAGGTGCTGGAAGTTTGATTCGGGTCGGAGGAAGCTCACAGCAGAAATCTTTAAAAAACGAAAAGCTGTAGTTTCAAAACTCCGTCCCATTTTCAGATGTGAAAATTTCTGAACACACATTTGACAGATGAATTTTTTGCCCACGAAGTTTGAGGATTTTTGGAAAAAAATCCCCATATTTTCGTGCTACCAAAATTGTGGCCGCCATTTCAAAATCCCACACATTAATTTTTATGTGATAAATAGGGCCTATTTGAGGTGAATTTGTCAAATAAGTTGTTTTACGTGTTTTGTGAGACAAGGATACGCATTTCTCAGGTAAATAGAAAGTTACTTAGTATAAAAATTACTGAATAGAAAATACTGGTTTTTCAGTGTTACGTGAAAAACGTGCGTCAGATTCAAAATTATCTCACATATAATTTTATATAGACTTCTATAACAACGACTAGTTTCACACTAGAAAAATATTAAGTACAAAATAGAATAAGGAAGACATGCAAGTTTCACCCTTATGGAATAACTTGAACAGCTAAACATTGTTGTTAAACAAATGGATCCTGCTCCGAAAATTTTGATTTCTCTGAAATAATTTAGCGTGAAAATGCGACAATTTAATTTGGGGTACGAAATTTGGGGATTTAGGAAAAAAATCCCCATATTTTCGTTCCCCCCTAATTCCGATCCCCAGAATTATGATCCACATAAATATGTCTTTTAACTTTAAGGTAGTCAGTTAATTGATGATGGTATGAAACCAAATTGGGGTACTGGAAGTCAAAATCTCGAAAAAAATTGGAAAATCATACTGTCCCATCAAGGACAAAAGGAAATCGCGGCACGTGCAGAAACGCGATTTTTCCCATTCTCCGCGACAAATCGCGATTTTCACTTTTGCCGCGACAATTCGTGATTTTCTCAGATCCTTACGACAACTCGCGATTTTTTAAGTTCTCCGCGACAAATAGCGCATTTTCTTTAAAATCTGGTGACTAAATTCACGTATTTTCCTATAAATCTGCGGGTCAAATATCACGTTCTCTATAAGTATAAGTTTATGGAACCAATCACGTCCACATAACAGCCTTCCGAATGTAGGTACGGACTTCGAAAATCGAACAAATATTTGTAGGCTTATAATGATCAGGGTAGCATGAATCATGAACAAAAGTAGTTGAAATGAAATGAAATAATTTGTTTTTATCCCCCTTATAATTATATCATCAATCAAAATTAAAATAAAAATTGCCGATATCAAAGCGGCTGGCCTTGCGATATAACCCAAAAACTAGATACTCAGTATATGAATATACTAACAACAAATTTAAGAACCAAAAGTACTTATATTTTATTAGTTTCTAAAAAAACTTTGAGAAAATGTTGACTTATACAATTTTCGGTTCGAGTCATCCTCGATACGTACCTCTGAAGGCAAAGCTCCCGATTTTGATCATCTCATGGCATGAAGTGCGTTTAGACACTTGATATTATTTAAGAATGTGCAGTGTGTAGTAATTGTCGAGAATGTGTACTGTGTAGTGTGTGAACGGCAATTCCAGAACATGTAAGACTATTGTCCCTCGATCCTCAAGTCTCTCCCGATCAGCAACAGTTAACACAGCACTCAGCAGCTCACTTTGCAACAATAAACAAAATAATTAACGCTATAAAGGAACCTGGATGTATTACATACTTTTCAGATCCATAGGCACAGTCCCATACTCTGTCCCATTTTCAGTTTTTGAAGCTGAAACTTCCAGGGCCGACATTTTACAGTTTTGGCCGAATTTCTGACCTGCAACCAATTAGTCAGTCAACTATAGATGCCAAATGACATGATTGAGGTGCTGGAAGTTTGATTCGGGTCGGAGGAATGTCAAGTAAAGGAAATGTTGTATTTTGAATTTTCAAAACTCTGTCCCATTTTCAGATGCGAAAATTTCTGAACGCACATTTGACAGATTGGATGAAATTTTTGCCCATAAACCAATTAGTCAGTTAATTGATGATGGTATGAAACCAAATTGGGGTACTGGAAGTCAAAATCTCGAAAAAAATTGGAAAATAATATTGTCCCAATCTCTATCCCATTTTAGTGTTTGAAGTTGAAATTTTCAGGGCCGAAATTTTACAGTTTTGGCCGAATTTCTGACCTGCAACCAATTAGTCAGTCACTTATAGATGCCAAATGACATGATTGAGGTGCTGGAAGTTTGATTCGGGTCGGAGGAAGCTCACAGCAGAAATCTTAAGAAAACGAAAAGTTGTATTTTCAAATCTCTGTCCCATTTTCAGATGTAAAAATTTCTGAACACACATTTGACAGATTGGATGAAATTTTTGCCCACAAACCAATTAGTCAGTTAATTGATGATGGTATGAAACCAAATTGGGGTACTGGAAGTCAAAATCTCGAAACAAACTACCCACATCATTTGACCTTCTGTAAAATGGCAGTTATCGTAAAATTATTAATTTTGTTAACAAATGTTTGCAGATTGTGCCAACAAAAACCGTCCGATATTTTTCAGCTTTATTTCCATGAGGCTATGCTATACAAATTTGTCTCGGGATGGTAGCGTCAGGATTAATGATCATTGCTAACTATAACTACTGCGAGTTTGTAAACTCGAATTTGTAAACTCTCGAATTTCAAATTTGCCAATTCGTAAAAAAGCATTTAAAATGGGAAAATATCACATTATAATTTATATTACTTTTGAAATATCACATTACTTTTAAGTGCAATTGATTACTTAGAAAGTCTGTTCGAATTTTCCACATAAATCTCTCGTGAGTCATGAGGCTGCGAAACTCTATTTTCGGGATGCCGGCATTATGGTGATGGTTAAATAGACTAATACAATACCAAAAGAGGCCAGGTGGAGTCTGGCGATTGGAAACATAAGCAGACAGGTTTACTTTCCCAGTCCCCTCTTGTAAACGTGTCTGTGAGGGTACTGCAGAAATAGTCAGACTTTAATTTTATTTGCAATGTTGGGTGTTAATTACAAATCACATGAGGTTTTTAAGTACAGCTCCATATATTGAGGATGCTGGGATTATGGTAATGAGGTAATTGGTAAGTTGACTAACGCAGGAGCCAAACATAGTTAAAAACAGGTGGAGGGCAAGGGTGGCTCAGTTTGGTGAAAAACCAGAGTTCGCTATAAACTTATAAAACAGCTTGTTAAAATATCACTGCACCATTCTATTTCTGATTTGAATAATTTTATAAATAACAAATCAACTTCATGATGTTCGTTCGGAGCATTATTTTCCTTTTCGCAGTTGGCTTGTTAGTGGAAACTAAAAGAAGTTGCTACTGGGGCGCTGTGTAATACTGTATCCGGGTGTTCGTGGGGCTGCCATCATGCTGGAGCTCGTGTAACGGCAAGTTTCTTTATTTTTTCAGTTTCTCCAATGTACTTCATTTTCTCCACATTTCTCCTTCACGAAACACCCTATGCTGAAGTTGATTCCATCATTGCCTCTTGAAAAGTTGAAACCGCATCTTCTTTAAAAACTTCTCTCCCTGCCCGCGGTTATGAATTTCTTCACCCGTACGGGATCTTCATTTTCCGTTTTCGGAGATGAAAACGAGTTGATCTGGGTTAGGGTAGAGACTCGAAGAAACGTATTTGTATTCCGACACGGACAAGCGATAAGTAAGCATTGCTGCATTAAGTTTGAGCATTTCCATTCAACTTTTAAAATTCTTTGAAGCTTGTGAATATTTCACGAAAAGATGATTTGATTACGTATTTGTTGTAACTTAATTGATTCGGTCGACTGATAGGAAACTTGATTGAGGGTTGTAAAATGGGGAGGGTTACCTGTTAAAAGTTCAGGAAACTTCCTAGGATTCAGTACATACTGTAAACATAGTACTATACTATTATACTATACTATTACCTTATCACCATCTTTAATACCATTATAATATCAGATCTGTTTATAATACGCGTTAGCACGTGTTGGTTGCGTTGTCATGGCGAACAAAATCGCGCGCGACAAATGTGCTGAAATCCCTGAAATGCACGCGGGTCATATTTATTCCCACACTTGTTAACTTGCTTAGTTGTCTGCTATCAAACACAGTTATCTAACCACTATAATCCTATATCTTGAAAATACAATATCTTCAATGGGATTTCAAAAAGCAATCCAAACTGCTATTCGAAGATGTTCTCGAACAAGACGACCAGCCCCGCTCAACTCTTTAGGTGCTTATATTCAAACTGTGTTAACAATTTTCGACTTGAAAATGTTGGTCTTTTATCAGTCACCAGTCATGCTGCATACATTTGTATTTTGTTTAGCATTTGAATTTCATAGTGAGATAGTGACTTTGTGAGAGCTGACCAACATTCTTACTCAGAGCAAAGAAGAGAAGTAGCTCTTCAACAACTGGGGCAACTGATCGAGGAAAAGGACACTTATAAATGCCAGATTTGGTTTGAAACGAACGAAAAAGGTGTTCTCAAAGACGAGATTGAAATCTTGACATCGGAGAATGACCTGCTCAAAGAAAAAGTAGAGCTCCTCGAAAAGGTGAAAGAGTTATTTTTATATCAAACCACCTGTCACCTGTCATGTCACCATACTAAATATATTTCTCAACTTGTTATAGTGTTATACCTATAAGCAATTATAGGATAAAGGTTGATCAATCTGCTGTCGAACCTTATTTTTTCTGAAAATATAATGATTAGTACAAATACAATTTCATTGCCATAACTAATTTATTCCTCAGGAAAAGTGGAGCCAGAAAGACACAATTTTCGGTCTAAGACGCCAGCTGGCTAAAGAGGAGCGATCCTTTGAAATATCAAGATCACTAATCCTACAGTCACGACTGAATAGACAGGAGGATTTAACAGCCGCTACTAAAAGAGCAGATGCTTTAGCGCGGGAGTTAGACCTAGCTGTGACGAGGGCTAAAGAAGATTTAGCAGCTTACAAGGATGAAATCGAAAATCTCAAAAAGGTGAGCTGAAATAATGTAAAAGTTTATTGAATTTTCATCTCGGAATCTGCAAGATAAGAATGATTGGTTGGACGGTTGGTCTGTATAATGGCTTCGAAACAGACAATTGTAATTTTAAATGCTTAACTTTTACCCTCCTCGGACTTAATTTGAACGGAGATTAATTGGACGCTGAAGGATCTCATTTTAATGTCCGTTCAAATATTGTCCGATAAGTAAAGGTAGTTATGATTTTTACGTTAATTTACACTAACAATAACTTAAATGATTTAACTTATTACAGGATTTTGAGACGAAAACGACATCTATGAACAAAGAGGTAAAAGATGTGAAATGTGCCCTCCAAGTCCAAGCTGAATTCCAAGATGCTTCAACTTGTACGACCGGCAGTACATCCTCCAGGTAGGAATGGGAATTGGAGTCAGAAATTGTGAAACGATAATGAATCCTGATTTCCATCGGGCCAGCCACTTAATTGAAAAATGTACCGTTTATAGATTTTATTGTGATGCAATTTTGAAATTAAGGTAATACTAATAACAATTTGAATTACTAATTTCGGTACTCTCACAGGAGGATCAGCTGCAAACAGGCTGCTAACAGCAAAACTAAAAAGGACAGGAGTGACAATTCTTCAAGACTGGATAAGCACAACCTCAACCATCTACCATTCCAGTGCATATCCAGTATGAAAATCAGTAGATCAAATTGGGAGTTACCTATGCTGACCCAAGGACCAAAATTTCTTGCAGCCTACTATGCGAAGAAAAGTGGCGCACATTGAGCAGATTTTCTACGTGGAGTGCCCTCGCCCAAATAAAACAAAGAAGGAGCTTTTTATTTTATATTTTAATTTCCTCTACTTCTCCCGGAGCTCTGTACTATGTTAACGGTACTGTGACCGGTACTGTGACCGGTACTGTGACCGGTACTGTGAACGGTACTGTGAACGGTACTGTGAACGGTACGTTGAACGGTACTGTGAACGGTACTGTGAACGGTACTGTGACCAGTACTGTGGTGACCGGTACTGTGACCGGTACTGTGAACGGTACTGTGAACGGTACTGTGAACGGTACTGTGAACGGTACTGTGAACGGTACTGTGACCGGTACTGTGAACGGTACTGTGACCAGTACTGTGAACGGTACTGTGAACGGTACTGTGAACGGTACTGTGACCAGTACTGTGACCAGTACTGTGAACGGTACTGTGAACGGTACTGTGAACGGTACTGTGAACGGTACTGTGAACGGTACTGTGAACGGTACTGTGACCAGTACTGTGAACGGTACTGTGAACGGTACTGTGAACGGTACTGTGAACGGTACTGTGACCAGTACTGTGAACGGTACTGTTACCAGTACTGTGAACAGTACTGTGAACGGTACTGTGACCAGTACTGTGAACGGTACTGTGAACGGTACTGTGAACGGTACCGTTAACAATGTGCAGGGTTTTGCGAGAAATAGTTGTGACGAGATTTAAAAATTCATTATTGTTATTGTTCATGTCCTTCCAAAAAACAAAAAAAGAGAACAACACCAAACACTGACTACAATTTTGAATTTCGGGACCCGGTATTCCATTGTTTCACTTTGTCTCGAATATTGATTGTTGATGATAATGCAGATTCAATACTTAAATAATTTTCTAAAATTAAATGGGCTAATAACATCAATTCAAAAATAACGTGTCTACCGTGAACGGTACTATGACCGGTACTGTGAACGGTACTGTGACCGATAATGTGAAAAGTGAGTGACCGATTTTATTCTCGGTATCATTTTGCATTTGAAGACGGTTATTCAAATTAATATCATTTTCTTTTGTTTGGGAAAAAGAGACACTGGCAGCGGTCCACTTTACCCATAATTATGCCTATGGGTTTTGGTCAAATATATACCTATATACGTCTGTGCAATGGCCAATGACCAGACGAAAGTCGAAAACCTAGTCATGATCATAATTACAAAACTAGTGCAAACTAGTGGAAAAACTATAACTATAAGCAATCATTATAAGTATACAAAAATAAAAACCAAAGTAAATTAAAAAATTTCTTTCACATCTTTATAAAGTTATAACCACACCTTTTTATAGCTTAACAAAACTGATCGCTTTACCTTAGACTACGGAGTAAGTCTGCAAACACGTCAATAGTTGGATATCTAACTATCTAAAAACCCACCAACTTCATTCGCAATTCCTGTCAACCTTTCTCGCATAATTCTTGAAGAGAATATGAATTCTAACAGCTGTGAAAAGTTGCACCTGCCTCAAATTGACAACATTATAAACAATTCATATTATGATCAAGAAACGCTAACTGGCAACGAGGGGGTTGATCTTCAAGAGGGTACAGTCTATAAGTATAATGGCAGTATATTTGTTCTTAAATTTGAAAGCTGATGGTATTTCAGGAATTTCTCACGCTTTGTTCAACTTCATACTTTCATAGGCTTTAGTGGAATACGTTTTGAGCGCATATATTTAAATTTGGAAGACCGCTGTTGATACCATTGACTTTGATATAAATACTATGTAAACTTGTAAACTAACTGAGCGTGTACTCATACCGCGTATACGTTGCATACGCCATGGTAACCGCGGCGACCACGTGCAAACGCCAAACAGAGCACATCACAAGATTTATTTGCTTGGTCTAGTATAGGCTGTAGAAAAGAGGTTGGTTCAATTATCACGAGCTTTCGTTGACGTTTAAATAGAAATTGACAAGTCAGTAATGGTTGTATTGAGCTGCAGTTACACCAAACCCCAAAGGCAAAATATTCAGATCTGCATATGCGAAGATTGCAAACTAAACGATTTAACGATAATTTGTCAATAACAACACTGATTTCACCTACTGGACGATATCATAATCCATTGATTGTCTAGTGGTTAAGTTAATGTCAAGTGGTCAATTTTATGTCTAGTTGTCAAGTTTTATATGTCTATAAGTGGTCAACTTTATGTCTAGTGGTCAAGTCTTTGGCCAACAAGGTTACGTCAGCACTCAGCAGGCGAGTAGAGTGGGAGTGGGTCAAGAAATGCTTGTGAAAGTGGATTCCTGGAAACCAATTTTCTGGAAATCATTATGAGCCTAACATTTTTTTCGGTTTTCTGGTAATGTTCAGGTACTAGTCTAGATTTGATCATGGGGGGCCTGACTGATATGATCGCTGCCTATGAATCTGAAAAGAATTGGATACATCCTGGTCCCTTTATACATATACTTTAATTATAGCGTTTATTATTTTATTTATTATTGCACAGTGAGCTGCTGAGTGCTGTGTTAATTGTTGCCGATCGGGAGAGACTCGAGGATCGAGGGACAATAGTCTTACAATATGTTATTGTTATGGAATTGCCGTCCACACACTACACATTCTAGACAATGTCCAGTCACATCCAATTAATACACACTACACATGTCTAAACGTACTCCATGCCATGTGATGGTTCATGCTACCCTGATTATTATGAACCTTACATGTTTTTTTTGGTTTTCTGAAGTCAATACCTAGTAGTAGTACATACTCCTCGATTTTCGTACGATTTTGGAGTCGATGCTTCCCCATTGTAATGCGATCTCGGAAGGCAGGCCTCCCCTTTGCAATACGAGCTCGGAAGCGGGAGCTCTGCCTTCAGAGGTACGTATCGAGAATTACTCGATAAGTCAAAATCTGTTCAAAGTTTTTCTGGAAACTACTTTTGTTCAAGTTTCATGCTAGCCTGATCATATTATTAGCCGAAAATATTTTTTCGATTTTCGAAGTCCGTATATACATTTGGCAGGCTGTGGACGTGATTGGTTCCATTATCCATATACTTATATTTGACCTGCAGATTTAAAGGAAAATACGCGAATTTGGTGAATAGATTTGGTGAATAGATTTGGTGAATAGATTTGGTGACCAGATTTAAAGGAAGATGCGCAATTTGTCTCGGAGAATGGGAAAAATCGAGATTCCGCATGTGCCGCGATTTCCTTTTGTCCTTGCAAACCCCTCATCACCGACCACCGTTAGGTTCAATTATTCAGAGATGGACATTAGACGCTTTCGCCGACACTATAATTCTGATCTGCACAAAAGTTCTTTAAACAAAAAGCTTTTGTCACGAATTTTTTACCCAGGTGGCCCTCTTAAAATGTTCATTTTTTTGTTTCACCTTAAATAATGATTATTTTACTGTTCCTCTAACAGTAAAACTTCACGGCGTAGTGTCAACTAAACTAAAGACCAGTTTCTTCCGCCGGTTATTTATTGTGTACACAATGAAATTTAAATTTGCATCGTTTTTTGTGGTGTTTTGATTCTGTCGTTAAACTGCTAAACTTCATACTACGTAGCTCACAAATAATAACAAGGGTTTAATTAATATTACAGTTTCTTTACTGATCAAGTCTTGATCCACGGCGATAAATTTTGATCAATAAGGAAACTAAGGACATACGGTGAAGGTCTTTTGCTTCACCATGTTATTTGTTAGATACAATGTGGTGCTACCCACTGTGGTCGTAACGTTATAAGGCGTTATACGGCGAGTTGTAGGTAGCATACTGTTAACCGAATGCGTTGTGAACACGTGATAGCTAACAGGTGCCAGAGGGCGCTAACCTACACATGATACAAAATAAGAGCGTTAGTGGACCTGTGATATACCATCGATTCAAATATCATTCCCTCGTGATGACTCCTCCTCCTCCTCCACAGTGGAAAACTTTAGCCTAGTATTGTGTTAGTTTACTGAACGTTCAGCTCTTCACTTGTTTATTATATTTTCATAGATTTTCACTCCTGAGCCCATTTATAATTTGTACATCATCAAGCGATCATCATCAAGGTATTATTACAAAATTCGCAACAGGAAGCAGCATTAATGAGCTAAAAATTTGGAATGAAGAAGTGGGTTTTATACTTTGTTATATTCGTCCAGGTAGCTGCTACAAAGAGACCGGGTCAGTTTTATATATATTGATCTACTTCTAGGCTAATTCAATGCTGTTTGAGGTAAACTTCCTACATAACTCTATAAGTTTAATTTTACACCAAATTGAAATAAAGAAGTAATTTTGATAGACGATTTAAGCAAAAAATATGTTTTAAGCAAAAACATTATCAGTCAACTCGGATGAATTTTTTTGGTCTGGAATATTGTTTATAGAAATCAGGAGATCACCATTAATTATTGACCTATAGAACGTTGTGAAATGAATAAACTAATCGCTGTATATAAAACCAGCATATTTCACTATGGTATCAAATCTGAGAGATATATCGTTTTAAAATGAAGTTTTTCGAAGAAATCAAACACGGGAGCAACTATAGCGCGGTAATTTCTGTCAGAGATCTGCAGCAGAGGCTCCACAAATCCCTTCTTCATCTCAACATGACTATCCAGAACAAGTAAAGTGTCACCCCTAGCCTTTTTAGCTGCAAAGACCCTCGAAAAAATGAGTCCTTTGTTAGTTTCAAACCTGAAATACCTGACTGTAACATTGAACTGAGAAACAAGGGGCTCCACCCTCTCCAAGTCCGGATAAGAAGTGAAATTACTGGCATCGTCCACCAATATCAGCTCACATAAGTTATGTGGAGGAATAGCAGCTAGAATGGTGTAGATAGAGCGGAGCAGAAGAGAGAGAACCTCATTATGATAGTTCAGGATGACGGAGACAGTGGTGTTGCTGGTGGGGTAGGTGATGTTCAACCAGGGGGTCTGTAGTCTGGAATATTCCGGAGCAGAGGTAGAGAGTCCACATAACTTTCATTGTACCCCTCTCTTGTATCAAAATAGGGCTTATCCAGTTTCTTGAACATAGCACTGGATGTTTGATTCCAGTTCTAAGCGCTCTCTATATGAGGCATCCGTTTCAAAATATAGTCTTGATTTCGGGGAAAGATTAGGAGTTAAAACATCGCTGCCTTGAACCACCAAATTCTTGGTCTGATTGATGATAGTTTCATTTATAATTTGGGACCCAACCCCTGTTGTCCAGCACATATAACCCTCCTCAGAAGCAGTGAAGCTGTAGCAGTGAAGCTGTAGCATTCCCACACATAACAGCACAGCTATCTGCTATAGTCGTGTAGTAGAAAACAGGTCGAGTAACACATTTTCTTCTCTGGAGCCTCATTGCCTAAGAACTCATGTAGTAGTTACAAGGAAAATACGACTTTAAGATATAAAAGTGTAAATGTTTTATTAGCGAGGAAAGCGCTTACAATCGATTATAATCGCTCATAAGCGCTTGTGAGTCGTTAATATGCCTAAAATAAAAACCCGATTTTTTAGCGATTTATAAACGGCTAAATTGTAATCGATTATAAGGCTTATAATCGCTTATAAATGGTTCGAAAAAACGACTTATCTGGCCGACCTCTTTTCCACCGCTTATAATCCGCAATCCTACTTGAAAATCGCTTTCGAATCGCTGAAAGCGATTATGATACACTTATAAGCGCTTTTTAGGCGCTTTTAGACAGTTATAATCACTTCCCCGTATTATTCCCGCGATTATAAATGTTTATAAGCAATTATTTTCGAACCGCTTATAATCGCTAAAAAAACGAT